CATCGGCCGTATTTTTCATACAAAACATTGCTATTCCTTCTTGCACCACTACGACCAGATGGTATCAAACTAGCCGAATTTCGACTTGATCTGAAAATTTTTTTTTTTAATTATATTGGCATTGTTTTTTGTCCTAATATTATGTCATTTTGACCGCTACAGAAGGCAGAAATTGGCATCTCAGAATCAAAAATTTTTGCCGGGCGGCATTGCCGGAGCCCCGCGTAGCAAACACTGAGTCGACTATGGGATCTCAAAATCTAACTGGAATTTGGATGCAGAAACATAGCAGATGCTGGTCAAATATCGTGTGGCCATCGGTTCTGCACACCGAGGTACGTCGCGAATTAGCATGAGTCTCAAACGTGTTCCAATTACAGTCGCAATCGCGTCTCAGCTGCATCTCAATCGCATCTCTCTTCACATCCTCAACGCCGATTCTCCAACCGTCGTCACCCCCCGCCCCATTACAGTCCAACCATTGTCCTCAATTATCATCTTCACCGTGTCTTAAACGCGCGTCTCAACCGATGGTCCAATCGTGTTTCAACGCGCCGCCTCAACTGTGTCTCAACTGGCTCATGCAATTGCATCTCAATCAGGTCCAATTTGCGTTCTCAGAGCCGGCCGTCCTCCTGCGCAGTGCGAGTCTATCGTGAACCGACACTGCACGTGCGGCTCCCACTACCTAAACCCGCGTAGCCGGCAAAGGCTGGCGCTGCTTCCTGGCCGCAGTGTCGGACCCGCCGGGCTCGATGACGCGTGTTCTCGTTGAGGCCGTGCAGGCGACAGTCGACTGCGCTTTCCACGAGAAGGCGGTGTTCCCCCTGATCAAGTGCAGGCTGCAGCCCAGTGATAGGTGACGCGGGGGTTGAGCTAGCGTTGAGCTCGGCAGGCAGGGTAGGCGAGGGGTGGAGGGGAGGTGGGAGGAAGGCGGGTGCTTCCCCCTGATCAAGCAGGGCTCAGGCAGAGGATAGTGACCAGTGGTGAGCGTTACGGCAGCAGGGTAGGTAAGGGGAGGGGAGAGACGGCGGTGGTTCCTGCCTGATCAGAGCCGGCAGCTCAGGCAAGGTGGATAGTGACGCGGGTGAGTGGAGCGTGTGACAGCAGGGCAGGTAGGTAAGGGGGAGGGGAGGAAGCGTCGTTCCCGCCTGATCAACGCAGGGCTCAAGGCCAACGTGAGTAGTGACCGGACCTGAGCGTTGTCACGGCATCGCAGGGTAGGTAAGGGGGGGAGGGGAGGAAGGCGGTTGTTTCCCCCTGATTGCACGACGGCTCAGGCTAGTGATAGTGACCGGTGAGTGACCGTTGCCGCAGGGCAGGGTAGGGAGGGGGAGAAGGCGTGTTCCGCCCCTATCAAGCAGGGCTCAGGCAAGTTGTGTAGTAACCAGTGAAGTGAGCGGTTGACGTGCAATGCAGGTAGGCGAGGGGAGGGGATGGGGAACGCGGTTGTTTCCCGCCTGATCTAGAGCAGGCTCAGGCAAGGTGATAGTGAACCGGTGAGTGAGCGTTGACGGCAGATCAGGTAGGGTAAGGGGGAGGGTAGAGGCGACTGATACACGGGTTAGGGTGAGGGGCGAGAAGGCGGTGCTTCGCCCGATCCACCAGGGCTCAGCGCAAGGTGATAGTAACCGGTGAGTGAGCGTTGACAGCAGCAGGTAGGTGAGGGGAAGCGAGAGGGACGTTTTTGTATAAGTTAGACTAGGATTACGGTTAGGGTTAGCAGTTAGGTCTCGGTTTGTTATGATTAGGGTCATGGTTAAAGGTAGCATTACGGTTCAGGTGTAAAGGTATAAGGCTAGGTTGAGTAATATAACGTATACGTTAAGTTAGTCAGCTGCATGTGAAAACAATCTGTACGACCTGACTCGGGTGACCTCGCTCGCGACCTGACCCTGTGAGCCTGACCGTTTGTGACCGTCTCCTTCCTGACTCGACCGTCGTGACCCTCCTCGAACCGCACCCGGCTGCGACCCGACCTTAGGACCCGACCGTCGCGACCTGTCCTCATGCACGCTAACTTCAACCGACAACGCGCACACGGCGCGTCTGCCGGCGTGAGCCGGCGAGCGCCGCCCTTCTGTCGCTTCCTCGAAAGCGCCTCTTGACGAGACCTATGATGCTGCGAGAACCTTCTACTGCAGTCAGCCACTAGAGGGCGCCTGCAGGGACAGTCGCGGGCCACAGCAGGGCCGGCGTCAGAAAGGCTGGTTACTGGCTGCTGCGTGCACTAACTTGCGCACCATCTGTCTTCTCCCTTCTCCCTCCTCTCCCTCCTCATGGCCTCTGTGCCTCGAGGCTCCCCTCATCCCGGCTCTTCCTCATGCCTCGCTCCCTCACTATCCTCCTCCTCTCCTTCTCATCCTGCCTCCCTCGCGCCTTCTGCCGCCTCCTCTCCTGCTCCTTCCTCCTCCTCGCTCGTCCTCTCCTCCCTCTCCCTGTTCCTCCTCTCCTCTCCTCTTCCTTCCTCCCTGCTCCTCTCCTGCGTCCGTTCCTGCCCCTCGCTCGTCCCTTCTCTCCTCCCCTCCTCGTTCCCCTTCCTGCCCTCCGCTGTCCTCTCGCGATGCGCGTCGGTTGTGTCGATTTCCTTTGGCGAGCACGCCCGTGTAGCCGCGCAAAACAATATCAGTGGTGGTTGACCGTTCCCGATCCGACCCTGAATTATTGCCCAAGCGCCCTAAAGCATTTTATTGTCAATGTTTCTTTAAAGTAAACAAAAAATATAATAAAAAATATAGGAAAACAATAAAATAATAGCAATTGGGACATTTTCCCGTGCTTCAAAAGCAAGACAACGCCATCCTTCGGCACGATTGCGTTCATAAATAAAAATATTTCAGAGAAAATAAGAATGGTTTTTTCCCTACCTACCGGTACGCTATTTTGTTTCGGCCAGTAACGGTAACGCAGCACATACTCATGCCCTCTGCTTCTTGCGCGCCTTACCGCTTTCGGTTCCATCACATCACCCCACGCGTTGCACAGAGTTTGCGGCACTTACCGTCCACTGGGCGCGCAGCGTTTTAGAACGGCGCCGTATCTGGCAGATGCTGGATTGGCTAGCATACAAGCTGCCATCCTCAACCTCTCGCCAAGCGCGTATCCGTCTGTGTTTGTGAAGTGGTTGCTACGGCGCGACGGAGGGCCGAGTCACGCGCAGCCGTCTGCCACCAAGCGGCGCTGGTCGACCGACTCCTCGTGCCGTCGACAGCCGGCCAGCGACTAGTGGCGCCCCCAAGCAGCAGAAGGTCGCGCACCGACGGACGCCGGAGATGGAAGGTCAGCTATGCTCGATCGGGGCCCTGGCGCAGCGCCGCAAACGCTCGTTCGGGGCCGTGTGACATGCGAAAGTTTGGGGGGAAAACCTTCGAGAATAAATAAACAAGTAAATAGATGCGGGAGTAAATAAGAATAGAGGGCATGCATATAAATAAATATTGTTTCATATTAAATTTAATATATTATTTAAAACAGATTGGCCAACATTACAAATAACTAAATAAACAAACAAGTAAATACATAGTTAAACTAATAGAGGGCGCGCATGTCGCGAGTACAGCGGCGACGATCGATCATACAGAAGCAAAAACACGTGCAGGATCTACATCGCATGGGAAGCGTCGTCACTTCATAGCAGGAAGAACGATCCGGGTCGCTACAGGTCATCACAGCCAATTATGCCGTAAACCATGTAAGTATTTTTTTTTTTTTTTTTTGACTCAGAGGCTTAAATGTGTTTGCGAGCATTTTTGCTTTTAGAAAAACTAAATATTATGGCAAGAGATAGTATGTCTATCTGACAGCGGAAATACACTGATTAACACGCCAACCTTAAAATACTCAATCTATTATGTGCAGTTATAGATGCATAGAAATTGATATGAACACAGTCGTAACACAACTGCAATTTATATGTGTCGCGGATAATATACTAAATGCAGAGGATTGGTAACCGTGTATTTGGTCCCGTGATTAATCTGAAAACAAAGTCATGATTTGAGAGATGGCACGTCTTTGTCTATGCAGACTATTAAATTGTAGTGGTTGGCATCTCTGCGGTTGAGATGTAATTGAGACACGGTTGAGAAGCGGTTGAGATCTAAGCGAGACGCGATTAAGATGCAGCTGAGACACGATTGAGATGTAATTGAGACACGGTTGAGACGCGACTGATATGCGATCGCCGCGAGCCCACCGTCCGCATTAGCTCCCTTCGTTGGCGCCTAACGAGCACTAATTAGCCGGCGCTCACTCACCGTTCACGTTCTTATTGGTCGGCGAGCTCGTGTCCGGCTCCGTCACAGTCGTGTTCGGCGACCGCTGCTCCACCGTCCGCAGCCGCTGCTCAACAGAGGGCGCCTGCACCGTCAGCCCGCCACTAGGGGGCATGCGCGCGTGCGCCGGCGGCCGCGGCGACGTCATCGCCGCGCTCCTGCTAGGTGGCGCTGCCGCGGCGCTCGCGATTTTCGTCGCGGCGGGCGCGCGGGGGACAGGGAGGCAGCAGCGGCGGCGGCAGACCTGGGGGCGGGAACGACGGCGGCGGCGGCGGGGGGAGGGGGAGGAGGGCCTGGGGCGC